CTTTCTGTTAAAGGCTTGTTCTTTACATATATCTTCAGAAATGTATGGGGAAAATATGATTTATGATATGATATAATCAAGTTTCTTATTAACTAGGATTATTTGGCTATGCTTTGAGAAAATGCTATCACTCCACTCACATACTTTATTCTGGACACATACAAAACATACAGAAAATGATGGGTTGTTTCAACCCAACTTTGGGTCAAATATATTTGACCCAAAGTTGGGTTGAAACGACCCAGCATTTTTTAGAGTGTAGATTTCACATTTTCCTTATGTTTTACATCAAGCTAATAATTATTTCTAGCAGATAACTGCTCAGAACTGCATGGCTGCTATAGCTGCAATGTAACGATATTCCTAAAACATTCCAGTGAGTGATTATTCTTAAACTTCTGCAATTAATTTGGCCTTAAGTGCTTAATGCACAGACTTTGTTTAGTAGATCATATTAGTCTTTTTTGCTCTCTACTTTTGTACTTCATAAGAAATTTAACATTTAACATTGAATCTTCATTTTTCAAAATATAACAGCAATGATATTCAAATGTTAAACTGCTATTAATAATTTTTTACATGCATATTTTAAGTGACGTGACATGTGACATGTGGCCAAGTATGGTGACCCATACTCGGAGTTAGTGCTCTGCATTTATCCCATCCAAAGTGCACACACACAGCAGTGAACACACACACACTGTGAACACACAGCCGGAGCAGTAGGCAAAATTTAACATTTAACATTGACTTATTAGAATCTTCAGTATTCAAAATATAACAGCAATGATATTCAAATGTTAAACTGCTATTAATAATTTTTTTACATGCATATTTTAAGTGACGTGACATGTGACATGTGGCCAAGTATGGTGACCCATACTCGGAGTTAGTGCTCTGCATTTATCCCATCCAAAGTGCACACACACAGCAGTGAACACACACACACTGTGAACACACAGCCGGAGCAGTAGGCAGCCATTTTTTTTGCTGCGGCGCCCGGGGAGCAGTTGGGGGTTCGGCGCCATGCTCAAGGGCACCTCAGTCGTGGTATTGAAGGGGATTGGTCTTGTCCTCCTTGCATTTATACTGTACAGTGATTGCTCTGATTCTTGCATGCATCAGACTTGTTTTCTTGCTTACAAGTTTAATATTCTTAGAATTATTCTTTTCGTGTACAGGTTACTGAGCATAAAATAACAGCACTTTCGGTTTGTTTTTTTGTGCTTGACATACAGGTTTTCTGCATTTAGTAACTGATTCCTTTATACTTGATATTTTAGTGCTTAAAGCTCAAAAGTTATTTATTTCCTTTTACATTCAGTCATTGATATAAGTGTTTGTATAAGGCAAAAATTTCACTCACTTATATTATCTTATGAAATATAACAGTATAACTTCAGTTCTGCTTTGTTAATTGAATGGATATTAAGAAACTTTTAGGCTTTTATATATCAAAATGAATGCAATACAATACAATACAATTCCTGCTGTGTTTTCAAAGGCTAAATGCTAAGTTACTGCAAGTTAGGTACTTTTACTTGTTTTTCAATGTCCTATTATTGATAATGTGTGAGTGTATGTTTTGATATTAATTACAATTACTGTTCTTGAATGGCCCAGCCAGAGCCCTGACTTAAACCCAATTGAGCATCTCTGGAGAGACCTAAAAATGGCTGTCCACCAACATTTACCATCCAACCTGACAGAACTGGAGAGGGTCTGCAAGGAGGAATGGCAGAGGATCCCCAAATCCAGGTGTGAAAAACTTGTTGCATCTTTCCCAAAAAGACTCATGGCTGTATTAGATCAAAAGTGTGCTTCTACTAAATACTGAGCAAAGGGTCTGAATACTTAGGACCATGTGATATTTCAGTTTTTCTTTTTTAATAAATCTGCAAAAATGTCAACAATTCTGTGTTTTTCTGTCAATATGGGGTGCTGTGTGTACATTAATGAGGAAAAAAATTTACTTAAATGATTTTAGCAAATGGCTGCAATATAACAAATAGTGAAACATTTAAGGGGGTCTGAATACTTTCCGTACCCACTGTATATGTAGGTGACAAATAAAGAACCTGGAACCTTATGTGTTTATCATCAATAAATCCAATTGGTTTCAATCTCATACATTGTAACCAACTGAGTATTGCTTGATCCACAGCTAGCAATATTTTAACCATGTTTATACTTTTTAACTGAATAAATGTAATTTTCACAATGAATATGTTTGTGCTGGTTCTCAGCTATTTGAATTCATGCATTTCAAAAATGATGCCATGATTTGACTGACAAATATGCATCACATTAAGTTTATTAGTTTGTTAAAAATGTGTAAGTCAAATGGGCAGAAATTTTATATGCAATTCAAATATATGAATCTTACATTTAGGCCTAAATATTTTTTGAGTGCACAGCAGTTTCATAAAGGATACTTAAGCACTTAAATAAAAATCAAAATGACAGGATACATAATAACTGAGCTTCAGTTCAATCACTGGAGAAAAAATTCATTTTTAATCTGACATGAGTAAATAAATCCAAAAGAGCCTTGTTTTCTGTGCATATACATAATAACATCACTGATGGAGGTAAATTATTTCTTTTCACAGATAAACTTCCTCTTAGAATTGCAAGAACTATCAAACCAATTGTTTAAATAGTTGAAATTGTTGTTCACAAGTGCACAGTTTTCTCCAGTGAGATCCTCTTCTTTCCAGTTATCAGGTTCACTTATCTCAGAATCTCTCCCGTGCCAAAACCTTCAAAAGCAGAAACAGGCGATCAGATATAAAATAATATTCTTCCTTACAGTAATATTTTGTAGATTTTGTAAGCTTTTGTAAAATATTCCATTGTTGCAAATATTTTAATGTTTGAGTACCATGATAAATCATAATAATACACTTGATTAAAAAAAACAATATTTTAAATATATTGCTAAACAAATAATTGCAGTATTTCTTACAGTACTCCAGTTTCATTGAGAGTTTGGTTATTCACCCAAACCCAAAGTCCCTCAGTGTCCAGATCATTGAGACCAATCCAGTATGTATCTTTAATTTTAGAGGCCAGAAACAGCTAAAAGAGAAAAGGTACATTTTTCAAAATCTTCATAAGCTAAAAACACAGAATTTGTAATAATACACTTTTTTATGCTTGTGCATTTTGTTAAAAAACCACAACAACAACAACAGTGCAATTCTGTTTCTGAATATTGTGTTTTAACAGATTAAAAATACAAAGTTCTTTGAGTGCACAACCAACAGTGATTACTTAAAAATTTCCCACCTGTTCTGTTAGGCTGGTTATGGTGACCAGATCAGCTCCTTTTGAAACACAGAAAGCACGACTGCTTGACCAGTCCTTTTTATTAGAGCTGAAGAAGTACAACTTTCCATGAAAAGATACCAAGCTCATATCACAGTTCAAAGATTGAGCTGTAAATGCTGAAATAAAAGCATATGAAAATGTATCCATTCTTCAGACCATGACATACTTGAAATAGTACAGAAATG